AAGTTACTAATATAGAAGTGCCAGAATACAGCATGGAGGACGCTTCTGAAGTAATTGAACAAGTTGACCAAGAGGGAAAGTAGGTATAGCCAGTCGTCCAATTTGGCTCGTTTCCTCCGGTATCATTGAATATGGTGCTTATATTACCACAGGAGTTTCAAGCTGAAGATGAAAAACAAGGTCAGGAGATTGACCCAATTCCAGTCTCCAGTGAAGACTCACAAGTAAATATGGTGCAAGATGAATCCGAAGTAGCCACACCAATGGAAACTGAAGACGAGAGTGAGGAAGAGGTAAGTATTAACCTCTCATACCCTTTTGAGTATCCCACGATGTCCATGACACAGCATGTCAAACCTTTGTATATCAAGGCCTTCTTTGATGGAATATAGATGAATCGGGTGCTGGTGGATAACAGGACAGCAGTAAACCTGCTTCTAAAATCTTTGTTGAAGAAACTAGAAAAGAAGAATCCCAGACTAATCCCAACTAGTACAGCCATTGCTGGTTTCGCTGGAGACAAACAGATGGCCCAAGGTATTTTGCCCATTAACCTGAGTGTGGGAAGCAAGGATTGCATGACGACATTCTTCGTTATCGACAGCAATGTTAAGTACAATGCTTTACTTGGTAGAGATTGGATTCACACTAACAAGTGTGTGTCTTCCTCTCTGCATCAGAAGATAATGATGGTCTTGGGCAATGGAGAGACAGAGGAAATCAATGCAGATCCTCAACCCTTCATAGCTTGTGCAGATTTTGCAGAGGCCAAATTGTATACTGAAGGAGTGATACCACTCAGTATACTGAGAAAACCTGATGGATTAGCCGAAGTGACGGCTGATGAGGAATTGGCACACCTGAAGCACTTGGTTCAGGAGAGTGCTGATGTAGGCAAAGAGATGAAGCCCAAGAAGCCAAGTCTTTGGCTCTAATTAAGTTCTCAGTATTGGATGCAAAATCAATAGTCCAGAAAGTGCAAGAGCAAGAGAAAGAAGCCATGATGATTGGTTGTAAGAAGGAACAGCAACAGGTCAGATTTTTGGCTTTGGATAAATATTGTGCTTTGGACATTGAAACAAAAGTCCAGGAGATACAGGAGGAAGAAGCCTTGTGGACAGACTTTGTCTATGAGGAGGAGGATCAAGATGTTGAATCAAACAAACTGGTAGCAGAACAAAGCAAGGAGATTGCTTCGAAGTCAGAAGGAATCAAAGAAGGAGCATCAGTAAGTTCTCAGATACAAGACCCTTTGGAAGAAGTAAATTTAGGGAAAGGTTCTATACAACAGCCCACCTATATAAGTGCTTGGTTGAATGCTCTTGACAGGGACCAGTTGTTGGTTGTTTTGAAGAAATATAAAGATTGTTTTGCATGGTCTTATAACGAACTACCAGGATTGGATAGGTCATTAGTAGAACATAGGCTCCCTATGAGGCCTAATTTCAAGCCATACAAGCAAAAATCAAGAAGAATGAGTCCAGAAGTGATTTAGAAAGTTAAGGAGGAAATTCTTAGACTCCTCAAGGCAGGCTTTGTTAGGACAGCCAGGTGTGTTGAATGGCTATCCAATATTGTGCTTATAGTTAAAAAGAATGGTAAAATGAGGGTATGCGTCAATTTTAGAAACTTAAATCTAGCAACTCCAAAAGATGAGTATCCTATGCCTATAGTAGATTTGTTGGTAGACAGTTCAGCAGGGCATCAAATTTTATCAATGATAGATGGGCACTCTGGTTATAACCAAATCTGCATTGCAGAGGAGGATGTCCACAAGACAACATTCAAATGTCCTGAGAATATTGGCACCTTCGAATGGGTTAAAATGCCATTTGGCCTGAAGAATGCTGGGGCTACATATCAGAGGGCTATGAATACTATCTTTCATGACCTCATTGGAGGGTATTTAGAATGTTATATTGATGACATTGTAGTGAAATTCCAATCCATGGAAGAACATTTGTTTCACGTAGAAGCAGCTTTCGAAAGAATGAGAAAGTTTAAGTTGAAACTCAATCCTCTTAAATGTGCCTTTGGTGTATCATCTGGAAACTTCTTGGGCTATGTAGTACACAAGAAAGGAATACAAATTGACCAGAATAAAGCCAAGGCCATCATTGAAGCTAGACCTCCATCAAGTAAGAAAGAATTGCAAAAGTGCCTTGGACAAGTTAATTTTCTTCGAAGATTCATTTCTAATACTACAGGGAAAACTAAAGTATTTTCTTCCTTGTTAAGGCTAAAAGATGAAGAGGAGTTTGTGTGGACAGCAAAGCATCAAACTATTTTCGAAGGAATCAAAGCCTACTTGGCCAACCCTCCAGTGCTGATGCCACCAAAGGGTGATAAGCCCTTGTAGTTGTACATAGCTGTAGCAGAGGATTCATTGGGAGTTTTCTTAGCCCAAGACAATGAAGAAGGTAAGGAGAAAACTGTTTATTACCTTAGTAGGTTTCTAAATTCTTATGAATGTAAATACTCAGTTGTAGAAAAGCTGTGCCTTGCATTGTATTTTGCTACAATGAAATTAAGATACTATCTTTTGCCTACAACTGTCTTGATAATTGCAACCACAGATTTGGTTAAATATATGTTATCTAGACCCATGTTGAGGGGAAGAATTGACAAATGGATACTAGCCTTATCAGAATTTCATCTAGAATATGTCCCCCAAAAGGCAGTAAAAGGACAAGTTTTAGCTAATTTTTTGGCAGACCATCCATGTCAAACAGAAAGACAAGAGATAATGGAACTTGGTACGGCTAGTGTTGAACCATGGCAAATGTGGTTCGGTGGGTCAAAAGCCAATGGTTTAACTGGAATTGGTGTAGTAATTAAGTCACCACAAGAAGTAGAAACCACGCATGGTTTCAGAGTGGATGAAACTACTTGTTCCAATAATCAAGCTGAATATGAAGCCTTAATAATGGGACTGGAAATACTTATTGGATTACAAGCTCATGCAGTTGACATATTTAGAGATTCTCAGTTGGTAGTTAACTAAGTGAAAGGGATTTTCAAATGTCAAAGTATAAGCATATTGCCATACTATGTTGTTGTATTACATCTACTTTCTCAATTTCAGATAGCAAATGTAACTCATATCCCAAGATTCTTGAATAATAAAGCTAATGATGAGGCTCAGAAAGCTTCGAATTTCAAGAGAAAGGATAATACTTAAAGGGACATAAGCCAAACAACATATCAGAAATTAATACCACCCTTAAATAAAAGGAATGTGGTCCTGGAAGTCAATCATAATGACTTACAAGAACAAAATTTTAGGCATCCAATAATGCAGTATCTGACTGGCCCATCTTCGAAAGCCAGTAGAAAAATTAAATTGCAGTCTATGCAATACATAATGTATGGTAATGCTCTCTACAAAAGGGGGGGAGATGGTTTATTGTTGGAATGTTTAGGCCCAAAAGAAGCATTGACAGCTATGGCTGAGGTTCATGAAGGCATCTGTGGTGCTCATCAGCCTGGTGTGAAGATAAGATGGTTGCTTCGAAGGCATTCCTACTGTTGGCCAACTATCCTTAAAGACTGCATAGAATATGCAAGAGGTTGCCAGGCATGCCAAATGCATGGCACAATAAGGCATGTGCCCATAACTGACTTGTATGCAGTTGTGAAGCCTTGGCCATTTACAGGATGGGCCCTGGATATGATAGGGAAAATACACACACCCTCTTCGAAGCATCATTGTTTCATTTTAGTGGCTACTGATTACTTCACTAAGTGGGTCGAAGCTAAGCCATACGAGGCTGTAGACCAGACTGAAGTCATTGGATTCATTAAGGATTTAATCCATAGATTTGGTATCCCACAGACTATAACTGTTGATAATAGGACTGTATTTGATGAAAAAATGGTAAAGTCTTTTGTGGCAGAGTTTGGAATTAGCCTTGTTAATTTTAACCCCTATTATGCACAAGCTAATGGTCAAGCTGAATCATCCAATCAGTTTTTGAAAAAAGGAATACAGAAAGTTGTGGAAGACAATTCTAGGGATTGACATAACTTATTATTGGATGTATTGTGGGCTTATAGGACTTCTCCAAGGTCAAGCACAGGAATCACTCCTTATGCCTTAGTATATGGGCATGAAGCAGTGCTACTTGTGGAAATTAATGTTAAGTCCTTGAGGGTAATATGCCAAGACCAGTTAGATCTTGAGCAATACCATTAGAGTATGTGCTTGGAATTAGAAAGTATAGATGAAGCTAGGATTCTAGCATTAAATAACATTATTTTCCAAAAGAAGAAAGCAGCCAAAAACTATAATAAGAAAGTCAAACACATTGGCTTTAACGAAGCTGATTTGGCATGGAAGACAATACTCCCAATAAGGATTAAAAGCCATAAGTTTGGCAAACGGTCACCTAACTGGGAAGGACCATATCAAGTTCATAGAGTCCTTCCTTTTGGAGCAAATGCTCGAACATTTTGGGGTGTATAAACCTTAGTTGAGAAGGGTAAAGACATTCATACATAGAATCAAAAATATTTCCCAATCCTTGAGCCATTCCCACTAAAACAATCCTAAGAAACTACTAAGAAAATGGTGAAAAGTGAGGGAAAGGGGAAAAACAAATGCAACTTTTGTTTAGCATTAATGTGGAAGAAATTACAATAAAGTTAATTTTGCTATGCAACTCACACTAGCATGATAATTAGGTTTTTTTTTCTTTTTTTTTAATTTCTTCCGAAATATAATCCCCTCAAATTTTCTTTTTTTAAAAAATTTGTCCAAAGCGTTACTCATGATTTCTTTCTTGCAAAATTTTGATGCTAATCAAATGCTTACAATAAAATATAATTTCCCTTACTGTTTTTTTGGTGTAAAATATAATTTCCCTTTTATTTCTTTTCTTTCACTTCATTTTCTACTAGCACACCCCCCTCCTAATTTGTCCTAATCAAACAAAGCTTAATGGTTAATGCCACATTCAAACAAGCAGATAAACTTAGTGATAAAAATTGGGAATGAGGGGTGAAGCCAAACAGAAACTATAGATTGCTCTCATTAAGTAACATCAGTTATCTAACAAGATACAAACTACCACGAGGGATCGTCCCACGTGTTTTTACAACTTGATTCCTTTAAAAACACAAAAAACAAATACAAAACAAAACTGTTTCAACTTGAAAATAGGAAACTCGTACAACTTGAAAATGATAGATAATGAGGACTAGGCGCATGTGCTTTCACTTGTATTGGAAAACATGGAAACAACAAGAAAATTTCATACAGTTGTTCTCTCCTTTCGTGTAGCATCAGTCGACTCGTATGTAGCGTCAGCTGAAGAGGTGTCAATATCATTCAGACCCAACTCCTCATTCTGCTCCCACGACCTCTCATATTCCTCGACTGCACATTGTCAATATGACATCATACAACAGCAACACTAAAAAGAAAAAAAATGCTAGCAAAGTAGAATTAAGTGCCATAAATAGTTGTGAAGAGAAAAATCCTTAGCAAACATAATAAAAATAGAGAAAAAAGAGTAGGCATGGGTTGGTACCCATTGGGGTCTGGAAGAGGTAAATTGGGTATAGACTTAACTTTTGACATGATTTGTACAAAGTGGCTGCCCTAAGAGCATCTCCAACAGTTGAACAAAATTTTCACCAAATTCGAGTAAAAAAAAGACATTTGGCTCAATCTGATATCAATCACTCCAACGGTGTACTGTAGCTTTCATCAAAACGTACCGGACGTCCGGGAGGACGATCGGCTGGTCGACCAGAAAGAGCAAAATCTATACAATTCTGTAATTGAATTTTCAAGCTTGAGGGTCATCTGGGGGGTCGACCGGGTGGTCGACCTTCTAGTGTAAAATCTGTACAAAATTTTGCGCAAAATTGGTCATCCGGTGGGTCATCTGGTAGTGAAAATACAACGGTAATGAATAGTGTTTTGGCGAAAGACCCAGTGCATTCTCAGTTTGGTGAAATTTTTGCTTAATTCTTAATTTGATATCAGTTTGGTGAAACCATTGGAGGGAGAAAAAGTGGATTTTTCATCAAATTTCAAATCTGATGCACAATTTGATGCACCGTTGGAGATAGCCTAAAGCTCAAACCAGTAACACCTCAAGTTTAATAGGCCGAGTTTTAACCATTGAACCAGTGGTTAAAACTGCGCTGAAAACAGCATTGTACAATATGCAAAAAATAAGGTCCGTCCAAGTCCAAGTTCTAAGGCTTGTCTGCCTAATATGAAGACCACATCAGATAAACCACAGCTCTATACATGTTCTCGAAGAAAGATATTATTTGAAGAAAAAGAAAAAAAAACCAAAAAAAATTAAAACCCCGGCCATTCTCCAAAACATGGTTATGAGGATTTTCAACTTGGCCGTTGACTTCGGGTTGTTTTAAGAATTGATTTTTTTTAGTATTTTTTGACTTTTACAAAAAGACGTGCAAAAAAGTAGAGAGAAGAGTTCGAATTTTTTGTATTGACAGCTTCATCCACAGAAGGGACATACAAGGCTACAACCCATAAAGAGCTTCCAACAGTTGTCTCATATAAATAAGATTGCACCAGAACACCAGCCATAGAGATGTGTGGAGGACTTACATGATAACTGATGGTCATCTTTAACATCGTCAGTTGCCGGTGCGACAAAAGAATTAGCCAGGGCATCATCAATGATCAATGTCCACGGATCTTCCACACTCAGAAGCTGTACAGTAACAGTCAGACAGTTGAATGCTCACAGATAATTTAAACAGTTAGACAAATCACCAATAACATACATTTAATGCCTAGGTGGAGAAGACGCTAAATAAATGGGAATGTACAGCAGTCCATTCCACTATCCATTGGACACATTCAAATGGTAAGAGAGAGTCAACATGGACATGCATTTCGTGTGCAGTCTTCAACATTGAGAAAAAATGAATTGACAATAAATGAGTCACTTGAAAATTGTCTACACTAAGCAATATCTGTGTATCTTGTGTGTGCGTGTTTTTTACAATTCTGAATTGAGAAACAATATCATTTTCTACACCAACTACAATAATCTCTTTTGGGTAGACAAGGGCTTGAGAAATGCCACAGTAAAGGAATTGCAGAACTGATCTGATAATTGAAGGGAAAAAATTTAAGGTTCAGGAAATACTACAGGCATATGACAGATGGTAGCTTTCCTTTGTCATTTATTCTCCACTCCTTTTTTGGGACCATGATGGCTATTTAGTTCGCAAAAAATTGAAAACATCATATTTGAGAGTTCACTACCTTGTTAAGCCTTGCTCTGAAGTCTAGCCACTTTCTTTTCTTACTATCATCAAGACTGTCCCCAAAAGTAAATCCATGTACTCTCTCAAGATCTGCACAATTAATCATATAATATATAATTCAATTTGGCAAGAGATGTGTAAATGTTGGTGCATATAACCAAAAAAGGAGGAAAAAGAGACAATAAAATAAAAATTGATAGGATGACTAACTACAAAGCAAATGAAATCAAAATTAAAATCACAGACAAATAATGTGAAGATGTCCATCTCCATATTTATAACATTAACATCAGTTATATATTGATAACATCCACTAGCTCCCAATGCAAACTATAGTATCTTAACCAGAGAGAGAGAGAGAGAGAGAACTGCACAAAGACATAAATTTAGGAATCCAAATCCCTACAAGTCAAACAACTATTAACATGTGAAAGTTGGTCAATCTATACAATCTTTAAAAATGAGAATGCAAAAACCATCAATATTTGGAAACAAATACATTCCTATCCTATAATTAGAAAATAAATAGATGAAAAACCGCCAAGAAAATCTTTAGCTTAAGGATAGAAATTGCAGCATGAAAATGAAAACAAAAGGATGGAAAAGGTACTCACTTTCACTAATTTTAGTGATCAAACCTTTAACTGTAGTCACAACTCCACCCAATGTTCCACTTGTCAGCACCAAGTCAAGCTCTGGAACTTCTACACTAGCAGTATTTGACTGAGATATATCAAATGATTGTTAGTCAGCACATTTGAAGCCTATAAGCAAGCGTAAGTTTAGGGAACCCCTTGTGTTTTTTTTCTTCAGCATTAATTAGATTCAAACATCCTTAGTTAGCTATTGTCAGTTTTCATGAAGGCATATGTAGACACCCCATTTTTGACCGACCTTGAGACTCAGACGTCACCAGTTGAGCTCTTGGTGATATTGCATATTGTGCTCGTTCAGAAGTTTCAGAGTCTCGGTTGCGAGCCTAGCCTTGCCTCCGGACTTCCGGACCATTTCATGCTTTGCCTCGGTTTGCGAACCAGCCTCGATTTTCTCTGTTTTCTCTTCGCGAAGGGAGGGAGAGGTCTCGTAGATCATCTCTCAGTGGCCGTAGGCTACGTTTCGTGGTCATAGGCCATTTTTTCCCGTTTGGAGTCCGGTTCCCGATTTTTCAGAATCGTTGGCCGTGTGCCTCGGTTCGGGACCGCTTAACCATCTCTGTTTGCTCCGGTTTTTGGCATACTTCTTATTTGCTCCCTTTTGAGGAACACTGTGGTCCGAGAGACCAACTTCGTGGTCGAACACCACTCCCGGTGCCTAACAGCCCATTTTCGGGGCCCCGAACTGCGCGTTTCGGCCCCTGAACCCTCATTTTGCATTAGTTTTGGTTCATTTTTGGCAGGGACCTCTGTTTCATTGGTAGGAAGGCCGTAGAGGGGTGGGAGGCCAGTAATTGTTCTGTCAGCCAACTTTATCCCTTCATCGCCCTCCGTTGCCCGATTTTCCTCACTTCAAAGCCAATGTTGAACACACTTGGGCCATTTTCTTGAACCCTAAACCCCATATTTGTGATGTACACATCTGGGAGGCCACCAATATTTGGTGGCCGACCAGTAATTGTTGTTGACCCTTTTGAACCCCTTTGAAAAATGGGTTGTTCTCTCTCCTTGTTCACTTTTTCCAGTGTTCAACCACAGGGTTGTGTTGTGCACACATCAGAGGCTCTCTCTCTGTGGTGGCCGGCCATTAATTCTCATTGACCCTTTTGACCCTTGGCCGGCCGGCCATGGGAAGTAGCCGGCCGGACCACCTGAAACCTAGATAACTGGCCAGCCAGAATCCTTACATCATCTACAGTGCAAATATGCATCTGTTTTTCCCCCAGATTCTGTATCCGGGGGGACTGCTTTTTGGAGGGAAACTTGGTTGGTTTTTCCTCCATTTTTTCCCCCCATTTTCCCCCTCTTTTTGCCTATATAACAGGAGCTCCAGCTCTGTTATTAGGGTTACAAAACTTCTCCCCTAAGCCCTTGCCTTGTATCTCCCTTTCTCTATACTTCCAAGCTCAAAACCTTCCAAGTCCTATACCCCTTTTCATCCACCACCAAGCCTCACCCTTCCATCCTCCATTCCAGCAGCTGGAGGTTGTTCTTCAAGGCCTAGGAGTGCTGCAACGCAAGCCAAAAGGGTGCCAAGGTTTAGTCTACAAGGGTAAGCTCTATTTCCCTCTTTTTGGTCCATATCTTGCATCCTTTCTAAGCCATACTTGCTTGCTGTTTTGGGCTCCGACCCTAACTGGAGTTAGGCTTATTTTGAGCTCCTTTTCACTTTTGTTTGAGGGCCTCTCACTGTTTGAGGCCTCCTTGTTGCACTTGCTTCATTATCCCTATTGTATGCATATTCCTTGTGTAGTATTTTTGGCCTATGTGTAGACTGTTTTGAGACATGTCATAAACTGTAAAGTTGCTTATTTTGAGCCCTTCTTCAACATTGTTGAAGGGATCATTGCTGTTTGAGGCTTTAATTTATCAGTTGCCTTTATATCTCTCTTTTGGCTCCATTTTTGCATGATTTGTTAGCCTCTTTTGCTTATGTTTTTGGGCTCTGGTCCAAACTACAAGTGACCTTATTTTGAGCTATTTTTAATGTTTCATTAAGGGTCTCTCACTGTTTGAGGCACCCTTTGTATACTTTGTGTTATATCTCTCTTTTTGGCCTTATTTTGCATAGCATTTTGAGCATTCTTGCATACTGTTTTTGGTCCGGCCATCAACTGTAAAGTGCATTATTTTTGGCCCCTCTTCAAAATTGTTGAAGGTCCCCTTTGTGTTTGAGGCCAGAAACCACTACTTGCTTCTTTGTCCATCTTTTGGCCCTTTTCTTGCATGAGATCTTAGCCATATCTGTGCTGGTTTTTGGGGTTTTTTGTAAACTGTAAAAGGTCATATTTTGGGCCCCTCTTAAGCATTGTTGAAGGGCCCTAATCTATTTGGGGTCAGAAGCTGTGAGTTGCTTCTTTATCTCACATTTAGGGCCATTTTTGCATGCTAGTTTTTCCCTATTAATGTTTGCTGTTTGGCCTTTCTTAAAACTGTAAATGTGCTTATTTTTGGACTTCCTTGAATCTGTCTTCATATGTCATAAGCAAATAGTGCATTTTTTGTATAGCTATAGGCCAATGCATAGGCCTAGTTTTGCATTTCGGTTTCATTTCATGCATCGGGTGTCATTTTGCCATCTTTCGGGGCTGTTTTGCATCACTTATTGCCTCTGAAATTTGTATGCTTGTATGCCATATTCCATGCCTTGCCATGTCTCGATAGAGTGGCATTTTGTGCCTTAGGGTCGGTCCTCGGTTTGCGTGCATGTGTGCACGCATTCCGAGTTGTCTCATTTTCATCTGATGGCCTCTTATGCGAGTGTGGCTGAGGTCCACTTGTGTTAGTATAATTCCATTTGTGCATTGTGTATGCCATCTTATTCCATAGCATTGCGTATGCTAGGTTGTATGTTAGCGCATTGTGTATGCCATGTTATCTCGTGCATCGTGTATGCCATTTCATAGCATTGTGTATGCTAGGTTGCATATTAGTTGCATTTCATGCATATCATGCATATTGCATTGTACTTGGGATAGGAGTTAGCCCGGGCACAGGAAACGAGGTACGTTTCGTACTCCGAGTGACGGAACGTGTCTCAATTCCCAGTCACCGACACTCCGGATTGTCCATGATGGAGTCTAGGTTTTGTTTTGTTTTCATGTGCATTCATTCTAATTGAGTTGTACAATTCGACTCCTCGGCCATCATGCATCGAGATGCGTGATTGGTGGCACGAGGATCGAGGCATGCATACATTTGTGAAAATACATTGCCATGCCATTTTCCTGCTCTCTGTTATAGCAAATCAAGAATTAACAGTCTTCCGGGGCTTGGCGTGCTTTCTGAGAAATCAATCGCAAACGGAGGCTAATTAGGGCATCGCAGTGGATTTCCGCGCAAGGCAACCCGAACATGCATCATTCATCATCCAGATCAGAATTGAGGCAGTCCCTGGCTTGCATGCCAATTTATTACTTTCTTAGTTAAATTTGTAATTTAATTAGGATTTTGTAATTATTTGGATTGTAATATTTATTCGGGACTGTATTATTCTTTCGGACCCTCTGTGCGAGGGCATAATTGTAATAAGTGTGCGTGTGTGTGATGCATGTCTTCCAACCCCACGTCTTTCTTCCCTTTTATTTACCTGCTTATGATGGTTAGATTAGGGCATATTTCAATTAGCATACAGTATGATAGCATGTTTGCATTCATTCATCTGTTTTGCATGCACCGGGCTCGGCGCATCATACTAACTGCATTGGTATTTTCATTCCAAGTTGAGTACTTGTTAAGTTGTTGCATCTCATATGCATGTTTAATAGTCGAAGCTGCTATAGTTGCATTTTGCATGTGTTGCATGAGGCATTTCTGTATAATTAGGATAATGCATGGATTTCTAATCGGTTTCCTGTTTTGGCTTGGAGTACTCGGTGAGTTTTTATCTTTAGCATCCTTGCATGCGTGTGAGTGACGGCCATGATAGCATGCTTACCATGAGGCTATTTGCTTATGTGATATAACTGCCTGAATGCCTGTGGGTGAAGGTTGGTTGTTTGGATTGGAACAAATCATCAACTGTGGAGTTTAAGCCCACAGATAGTGGTAAAATCAATGTTCATAAAGCCCCACACCGAACACGAAGGGTGTGAAGAGAGGACAAAGATCTTAACTCACCGCCTACGCGAAGTTCGCAAGGGACACACTATCTCAAACCATTTTCAAAAACACAGAACTATACTGCAGGAGGATGTTATTGCTTCCACAAATTATGAGAGCACGAGTACAGAGGTCCTAGATGACGCGTGTGATGCCCTCATGTCGCAATCACATAGTAAATCTAGGCTGAGCATAACACGGCGGTAATACATTAGGACGTGTAGAATTACAGAGTTAGAGCAGATAATTAAACATCGATATATTCACTATGCTGGCTATATATGGCTTTGCCTTACGTGCAGTCTCTCCAACTGAACAAAATACGTTGTAGTGCACCAGACACAGAAAGTGGACCTTAACAATGTACTGGCAGTAAGACCTCGAAAGCGAACTGATGTGAGAGCACAGGAGGGAGGGACAGAGTCTCTACAACAAATGGCGTCACACGAAGCAACGAGTATCCCGCGACGCTTTCGCGGCTAAAGTATTCGCCTATATATAACAAATAATATGATTCTATTTAGGTGGCGACTCCTGTATCTGGCCAAGCAGTCCAATGTTTGGACTTCTTTCCAAAAAAATTTGTTTTTTTCCCAAAACGATTTGCCGGATTTGGACTCTTTGGTCAACTGGAGAAACCGTGACAATTTAGGAGTCCTGAGCTGTATGACCCCAAATGAAACGAACGGGGAGCTACCCATCCTCGGGGCGTCCGGGATCGTCTACAATTTCCTGGCGCTCTGCTGGGATTTAGAGAATACTCGAGAACTCATTATATTTTTTTGACTACACGTTGTGCTGTTTCTTTGGCATTGGCATTTGCATTGCATTTGCCATGGTACGCTAGGCGAACCGTGTTGCATACTGCTATTCGCAT